TTCCTGTTTATGTCACAGCATCTCATCAATGCTTTTTATGCCTGTCCATGTGCTCACTCCTGCTAATGTCACAGCATCATATCACTCCTGCTAATGTCACAGCATCATATCACTCCTGCTAATGTCACAGCATCATATCACTCCTGCTAATGTCACAGCATCATATCACTCCTGCTAATGTCACAGCATCATATCACTCCTGCTAATGTCACAGCATCATATCACTCCTGCTAATGTCACAGCATCATATCACTCCTGCTAATGTCACAGCATCATATCACTCCTGCTAATGTCACAGCATCATATCACTCCTGCTAATGTCACAGCATCATATCACTCCTGCTAATGTCACAGCATCATATCACTCCTGCTAATGTCACAGCATCATATCACTCCTGCTAATGTCACAGCATCATATCACTCCTGCTAATGTCACAGCATCATATCACTCCTGCTAATGTCACAGCATCATATCACTCCTGCTAATGTCACAGCATCATATCACTCCTGCTAATGTCACAGCATCATATCACTCCTGCTAATGTCACAGCATCATATCACTCCTGCTAATGTCACAGCATCATATCACTCCTGCTAATGTCACAGCATCATATCACTCCTGCTAATGTCACAGCATCATATCACTCCTGCTAATGTCACAGCATCATATCACTCCTGCTAATGTCACAGCATCATATCACTCCTGCTAATGTCACAGCATCATATCACTCCTGCTAATGTCACAGCATCATATCACTCCTGCTAATGTCACAGCATCATATCACTCCTGCTAATGTCACAGCATCATATCACTCCTGCTAATGTCACAGCATCATATCACTCCTGCTAATGTCACAGCATCATATCACTCCTGCTAATGTCACAGCATCATATCACTCCTGCTAATGTCACAGCATCATATCACTCCTGCTAATGTCACAGCATCATATCACTCCTGCTAATGTCACAGCATCATATCACTCCTGCTAATGTCACAGCATCATATCACTCCTGCTAATGTCACAGCATCATATCACTCCTGCTAATGTCACAGCATCATATCACTCCTGCTAATGTCACAGCATCATATCACTCCTGCTAATGTCACAGCATCATATCACTCCTGCTAATGTCACAGCATCATATCACTCCTGCTAATGTCACAGCATCATATCACTCCTGCTAATGTCACAGCATCATATCACTCCTGCTAATGTCACAGCATCATATCACTCCTGCTAATGTCACAGCATCATATCACTCCTGCTAATGTCACAGCATCATATCACTCCTGCTAATGTCACAGCATCATATCACTCCTGCTAATGTCACAGCATCATATCACTCCTGCTAATGTCACAGCATCATATCACTCCTGCTAATGTCACAGCATCATATCACTCCTGCTAATGTCACAGCATCATATCACTCCTGCTAATGTCACAGCATCATATCACTCCTGCTAATGTCACAGCATCATATCACTCCTGCTAATGTCACAGCATCATATCACTCCTGCTAATGTCACAGCATCATATCACTCCTGCTAATGTCACAGCATCATATCACTCCTGCTAATGTCACAGCATCATATCACTCCTGCTAATGTCACAGCATCATATCACTCCTGCTAATGTCACAGCATCATATCACTCCTGCTAATGTCACAGCATCATATCACTCCTGCTAATGTCACAGCATCATATCACTCCTGCTAATGTCACAGCATCATATCACTCCTGCTAATGTCACAGCATCATATCACTCCTGCTAATGTCACAGCATCATATCACTCCTGCTAATGTCACAGCATCATATCACTCCTGCTAATGTCACAGCATCATATCACTCCTGCTAATGTCACAGCATCATATCACTCCTGCTAATGTCACAGCATCATATCACTCCTGCTAATGTCACAGCATCATATCACTCCTGCTAATGTCACAGCATCATATCACTCCTGCTAATGTCACAGCATCATATCACTCCTGCTAATGTCACAGCATCATATCACTCCTGCTAATGTCACAGCATCATATCACTCCTGCTAATGTCACAGCATCATATCACTCCTGCTAATGTCACAGCATCATATCACTCCTGCTAATGTCACAGCATCATATCACTCCTGCTAATGTCACAGCATCATATCACTCCTGCTAATGTCACAGCATCATATCACTCCTGCTAATGTCACAGCATCATATCACTCCTGCTAATGTCACAGCATCATATCACTCCTGCTAATGTCACAGCATCATATCACTCCTGCTAATGTCACAGCATCATATCACTCCTGCTAATGTCACAGCATCATATCACTCCTGCTAATGTCACAGCATCATATCACTCCTGCTAATGTCACAGCATCATATCACTCCTGCTAATGTCACAGCATCATATCACTCCTGCTAATGTCACAGCATCATATCACTCCTGCTAATGTCACGGCATCATATCACTCCTGCTAATGTCACAGCATCATATCACTCCTGCTAATGTCACAGCATCATATCACTCCTGCTAATGTCACAGCATCATATCACTCCTGCTAATGTCACGGCATCATATCACTCCTGCTAATGTCACAGCATCATATCACTCCTGCTAATGTCACAGCATCATATCACTCCTGCTAATGTCACAGCATCATATCACTCCTGCTAATGTCACGGCATCATATCACTCCTGCTAATGTCACAGCATCATATCACTCCTGCTAATGTCACAGCATCATATCACTCCTGCTAATGTCACAGCATCATATCACTCCTGCTAATGTCACAGCATCATATCACTCCTGCTAATGTCACAGCATCATATCACTCCTGCTAATGTCACAGCATCATATCACTCCTGCTAATGTCACAGCATCATATCACTCCTGCTAATGTCACAGCATCATATCACTCCTGCTAATGTCACAGCATCATATCACTCCTGCTAATGTCACAGCATCATATCACTCCTGCTAATGTCACAGCATCATATCACTCCTGCTAATGTCACAGCATCATATCACTCCTGCTAATGTCACAGCATCATATCACTCCTGCTAATGTCACAGCATCATATCACTCCTGCTAATGTCACAGCATCATATCACTCCTGCTAATGTCACAGCATCATATCACTCCTGCTAATGTCACAGCATCATATCACTCCTGCTAATGTCACAGCATCATATCACTCCTGCTAATGTCACAGCATCATATCACTCCTGCTAATGTCACAGCATCATATCACTCCTGCTAATGTCACAGCATCATATCACTCCTGCTAATGTCACAGCATCATATCACTCCTGCTAATGTCACAGCATCATATCACTCCTGCTAATGTCACAGCATCATATCACTCCTGCTAATGTCACAGCATCATATCACTCCTGCTAATGTCACAGCATCATATCACTCCTGCTAATGTCACAGCATCATATCACTCCTGCTAATGTCACAGCATCATATCACTCCTGCTAATGTCACAGCATCATATCACTCCTGCTAATGTCACAGCATCATATCACTCCTGCTAATGTCACAGCATCATATCACTCCTGCTAATGTCACAGCATCATATCACTCCTGCTAATGTCACAGCATCATATCACTCCTGCTAATGTCACAGCATCATATCACTCCTGCTAATGTCACAGCATCATATCACTCCTGCTAATGTCACGGCATCATATCACTCCTGCTAATGTCACAGCATCATATCACTCCTGCTAATGTCACAGCATCATATCACTCCTGCTAATGTCACAGCATCATATCACTCCTGCTAATGTCACAGCATCATATCACTCCTGCTAATGTCACAGCATCATATCACTCCTGCTAATGTCACAGCATCATATCACTACTGCTCATGTCAAAGCATGTAGTGTCTAGGGTTGGAGTCACCACATGAGGCGCTACTGTGCCCATCACACAACAGCATATCCCAGGGGCGCATGTCAAAGCAAACTGTCTAGTGCTGGCGTCACAACAAGAGGCGCTACTACTTACAATTCACAATATAATGTCTATTTCCACTTTCTGTCACCGCATTTCATCCCTGCTTTCTATGACTGCGCATATGCGACAGCGTAAGTCAAGTGCAAACCAGTGATTTATCATTTACCATCAGGTATCTTTCGTAAACCCTTCGTTCGTCTTTGTCGACTTAGCATGCATTGTGATACTACCCAATTATCCCCTTTGCAACAAAATACAGGCTGCTCCTACTCCATCCGGTTCCATGTCTTCTTGGTTCTAACCTTTGATGCATACTACAACCACTGATTTATCTTTTTGTGCTCGTTTCACTATCATGGCACTAATGTTGCCCATGCCTCACACCCCTCCCCACACATGCGTTCAACCAGCCGCATGGACTATATGTCAACAGCTTTCAAGGTCAGGAGTGGCCCCTTATTGCTCCCAATGTGGTGCTCTCATTACCATTCGTCTCTTTCTTTGCTCTACTTCTCCATGTTTTGCTCCACTGAACTGCAGATCCATTTGGTGTCCGGAACATTTTTGTGTTTGTTGGAAATTTTCACGGCATACAAGACATTACCACCACACGATTGAGCCTATGTAGCCTACTGATACTACACCTCCTACCTGCATGATTTTGGCAGCAACAGTTTGCACCTTCTAAAGCAAGTACGGTAGTTTGATGTTTTTGCTCATGACTTAGCATAATTAGCACGCGTATGTGTCAAGTGGCTCAAGTCACAGCAGGCGTATACATGTATAAAGGATTTTACACTGAATTTTGGAATCCACATTTATGCGAATGAGCACTTGTCCACCAAACATGTTTGCCTCAATGGTCTTGGTTTCAAGAATGGCACAACATAAGCTCTCCTGCAGTGAGAATCAACGGTGATAAAATTGAGTGCCATCATATGGTGTACGAGCCAACAGGTGGTGTTGGAGGTGGACAACCCCCGGTCTCCATCCACATCAGTGCATTGTCCTCTGTTGAGGGAGGAGGTGCGGTGGCGATCAGCTTGCTGACAGTTGCCACACATGGGGAGAGGGTGAGGGAAAGGGAGGCAGAGGGTGGGGGGAAATAGGAGGGAGGGTGAGGAAGGGCAGGGAAGGCAATGGTGGTAGTAGGGGATAGGTATACGGGGAAGGGGGTGAGGAAGACGAGGGACAGGGAGAAAGGCGATGAGGAGAAGGGAAACAGAGAGAAGGGGGACAGAGAGAATATGAACTGAGAGGACGGGAGGATGAAAGGACAGGGGCATGTGAGGACAAGAGGACGAGAGGACAGGGGGACGAGAGGTCAGGGGGACGGGGGGATGAGAGGACGGGGGGATGAGAGGACAGGCGGATGAGAGGACGAGGGGATGAGAGGATAGGGGGACGAGAGGACAGAGGGATGAGAGGACGGGGGGATGAGAGGACAGGCGGACGAGAGGACAGGGGACGGGGGGATGAGAGGATGGGGGGACGAGAGGACAGGGAACAGGGGGATGAGAGGACGGGGGGGTGAGAATGAGAGGACAGGGGGATGAGAGGACAGGGGGATGAGAGGACAGGGGGATGAGGGGACAGGGGGGTGAGAGGACGGGGGGACGAGAGGACAGAGGGGTGAGAGGACGGGGGGATGAGAGGACAGTGGGACGAGACGACAGGGGGACGAGAGGACAGGGGGACGAGAGGACAGGGGGACGAGAGGACAGGGGGACGAGAGGACAGGGGGACGAGAGGACGGGGGGACGAGAGGACGGGGGGATGAGAGGACGGGGGGATGAGAGGACGGGGGGATGAGAGGACAGGGGGATGAGAGGACAGAGGGATGAGAGGACAGAGGGATGAGAGGACGGGGGGATGAGAGGACAGGGGGATGAGAGGACAGGGGGATGAGAGGACAGGGAGATGAGAGGACAGGGGGATGAGAGGACAGAGGGATGAGAGGACGGAGGGATGAGAGGACGGGGGGATGAGAGGACAGGGGGATGAGAGGACAGGGGGATGAGAGGACAGGGGGATGAGAGGACGGGGGGATGATAGGACAGGCGGACGAGAGGACAGGGGACGGGGGGATGAGAGGATGGGGGGACGAGAGGACAGGGAACAGGGGGATGAGAGGACGGGGGGATGAGAGGACAGGGGGATGAGAGGACAGGGGGATGAGGGGACAGGCGGACGAGAGGACAGGGGACGGGGGGATGAGAGGATGGGGGGACGAGAGGACAGGGAACAGGGGGATGAGAGGACGGGGGGGTGAGAATGAGAGGACAGGGGGATGAGAGGACAGGGGGATGAGAGGACAGGGGGATGAGGGGACAGGGGGGTGAGAGGACGGGGGGACGAGAGGACAGAGGGGTGAGAGGACGGGGGGATGAGAGGACAGGGGGACGAGACGACAGGGGGACGAGAGGACAGGGGGACGAGAGGACAGGGGGACGACAGGACAGGGGGACGAGAGGACAGGGGGACGAGAGGACAGGGGGACGAGAGGACAGGGGGACGAGAGGACGGGGGGATGAGAGGACGGGGGGATGAGAGGACGGGGGGATGAGAGGACAGGGGGATGAGAGGACAGAGGGATGAGAGGACAGAGGGATGAGAGGACGGGGGGATGAGAGGACAGGGGGATGAGAGGACAGGGGGATGAGAGGACAGGGGGATGAGAGGACAGGGGGATGAGAGGACAGGGGGATGAGAGGACAGAGGGATGAGAGGACGGAGGGATGAGAGGACGGGGGGATGAGAGGACAGGGGGATGAGAGGACAGGGGGATGAGAGGACAGGGGGATGAGAGGACGGGGGGATGATAGGACAGGCGGACGAGAGGACAGGGGACGGGGGGATGAGAGGATGGGGGGACGAGAGGACAGGGAACAGGGGGATGAGAGGACGGGGGGATGAGAGGACAGGGGGATGAGAGGACAGGGGGATGAGGGGACAGGGGGGTGAGAGGACGGGGGGATGAGAGGACGGGGGGGTGAGAGGACGGGGGGGTGAGAGGACAGAGGGATGAGAGGACAGGGGGATGAGAGGACAGGGGGATGAGAGGACGGGGGGATGAGAGGACGGGGGACGAGAGGACAGGGGGACGAGAGGACGGGGGGATGAGAGGACGGGGGACAGGGGGATGAGAGGACAGTGGGATGAGAGGACGGGGTGATGAGAGGACGGGGGGATGAGAGGACAGAGGGATGAGAGGACAGAGGGATGAGAGGACAGGGGGATGAGAGGACGGGGGGATGAGTGGACGGGGGGATGAGAGGACGGGGGGATGAGAGGACGGGGGGATGAGAGGACGGGGGGATGAGAGGACGGGGGGATGAGAGGACGAGGGGATGAGAGGACGAGGGGATGAGAGGACGGGGGGATGAGAGGACGAGGGGATGAGAGGACAGGGGACAGGGGGATGAGAGGCCGGGGTAATGAGAGGACGGGGGGGTTTTTCGCGGGAGGGGAGGGAGGCCGGCGGGAGGGGGGATTCCCGGGCGACACGGAGGGCGATGGCAGGGGAAGCGTGGGCGACGGTGGGGGGAAGCGTGGGCGATGGTGGGGGGAAACGTGGGCGACGGTGGGGGGAAACGTGGGCGACGGTGGGGGGAAACGTGGGCGACGGTGGGGGGAAACTTGGGCGACGGTGGGGGGAAACGTGGGCGACGGTGGGGGGAAGCGTGGGCGACGGTGGGGGGAAACGTGGGCGACGGTGGGGGGAAGCGTGGGCGACGGTGGGGAGAAGCGTTGGCGACGGTGGGGAAAAGAGTTGGCGACTGTGGGGAAAAGAGTTGGCGACGGTGGGGAAAGCGTTGGCGACGGTGGGGAAAAGCGTTGGCGACGATGGGGAAAAGCGTTGGCGACGGTGGGGAAAAGCGTTGGCGACGGTGGGGGAAAGCGTGGGCGACGGGGAGGAAGCGTGGGCCACGGTGGGAGGAAGCGTGGGGGACGGTAAGAGGAAGCGTGGGCGACGGTAAGAGGAAGCGTGGGCGACGGTAAGAGGAAGCGTTGGTGACGGTGGGCTGAAGCGGGGGTGACGGTCGGAAGAAGCGTGGGCGATGAGCGTGTGTGAATGTGGGGGAAGGCGTGTGCGATGGTCAGCGGAATTGTGGGTGCACCCAGGGAGCAGGAGGCAGCGACGGTAAAGGGGAAGCGTGAGCGAAGGTGAGGGAAAGGGTGGGGGGAAGCGTGGGCGTGTGCGTAGGGTACGCAGAAGGCGAATGGGTGCGAATGTGATGTTTGAGGAAGGGCGATGCCAGGGCGACCGAGTGAGGCAACGTGATACACCGTCGCGTTGCTGTCATACCGAGGCGCTACGACTGGAAAATAAGTCGGGGTGTCTACATTGGCCGAGAGATTGACGGCGGAGGCGGAAGGCTGGGGATACTTTCGCGACGCGCGAGCGTGTGCTTCTTTCTAAGCCTGAGACTACTACTCGCTGCAACGACACTTGGAGAGAACGTGGCGGTTGCGTTAGAGGAAACATAGTGGCGGCGGCTCGGTTGCAACTAAAGTCGCCAAAGGTCCCTGATTCGTGTCTTTGAACAGAGCACTTAGACTGAAGATTGCCCGTATGTGACGGGAGAACGACTACTAGCGTGCCTCATAATATGCGTGTCCAAGCGTTCCCGATGGTTTTCAAGTTTACTCAAGGTGAACAGTGCTTTCCTCTGAGGCGTTTTTCCTGCTTGTTGTTCTAGTTTATCGCTGGCCAATCACGGATCACCTCTGCTGCTTGAAACTGACGGATTGTTCTGAACCAGCTGATAACATGGTTATTCACGAAATCAAGTTCAAGAAACTTGAATTTGAAAAATACCATGTGAAACTCGGGCTTTAATATGAAGTTCATCCAGCAACTGGAAAAACCCATTTTGGGAATCATTCGGAATTCACAACACGGTAATCTCTTGTGGTATTGGAATGTTGGCTTCCTGGTAGGTACATTGCCCAGGTAATTAAAAATAGAGCACCAATACTGATGCCAATACTAGGGCAGGTAATCCAACAGCTGGAAACACCCAGCGTGGAAATTGTTGTGGATTCACAATAGCATCTTCGTCAACAGCTGAGCAGTTACAGCTTGTTTCAGAGAAGTCCCTAATTATGATTGGTAAAGCTTCCTGCTGAAGCGATTCTGATGATGAATGCTCCGCCGAGATTTCCGCTTGAATGAGTGGAGAGTTTGTTTCTTTCAGCTTGATTGTCATGTTTCCGATGTGTGAAACCTTTTTATCAGATGACTGAAATACAAGCTTCGGAGGATCTGCCATGGAAAGAAGAGGTGAGCATTGGTGACTTGAAGCTTCTTACACAACAGCGGGCTGACCTGATAAGCAGCCGACGCCGCCGCACGTGATGCTTGCTTCATAAAACATTTCCCGCCGCAAGTCAATCAATGGTACTTCTGCATAATAATCCGACGAAAGTGCCAGTTCCTGGAGAACCCTTTCATTGCTGAGCTCGATTACATGGAGATGACAAGCGGAAGAGCACTCATAATCGATCATGGTGACTCCCAGAAAATGCACAGCCTGAAATGGGACGAAGCCTGCCAAAAGGGAAGCTGATGAGTCTGACTGATGTTTCGATGAACGTTATGGTGTGCGTTCATTTTCTTATCTGGAAGCCAGACCTGAGACACCCTCGTTCTTGTCGACAATGACTGCATAGGCTGTTGGAAGAATAACCAGGAAACACAAGGTAGCCTTCACGAGCGTGGGTTGAGGCGTCAGTTCATTCCTGGAAGCCATGACTGTCCAGCGAGAATTGCTGGACGTGCCTACGGAATTATGTGAAAATATGGTGGAGAGCTGGTGTGGTGTGGTGCCTTGATTCTGGTTTGTTGTGGGTCAAGAAATTTCGGGTTTCTCGGTTACCATTCAAAATGTCGCTAGGGTACACGTAAAACATCAGAGCGCAGAGGATTTGTTTCGTCAAAATCGGTTGACTTGTGCCTGGTTACATCTCTCCGCCCAAAATAAGGAAGCATGATCGGACTGTACGATCTTCACGACAAATTAGCGAAACTTTTGCTTTCTGCCTCTTTACGTTTCGCCCGCTGTGCCATTCTGCCTAGGCGATGTCGCATCACTGGACAAGCCGTCGATGAAGCTGCATCATTATTGAACTCCCATCCCTTCCATCCCATCGCATCGCCGTCACGACTGGCAGGGACTAAATAGGCTTGGTGACTGATTTGTGGTGCAACCCTAAAGCGAAGGTCAAAACTTATCAGGTTATGCCAACAATGGCTATGTAGGAGGTTTGTCAAATTTCTCTAGACGGATGACGTTGGCTGCTGCCTGTAAAAGACGCGCTCATGAATTGTCCCAGTGCCCACCGTCCTCTTCCTCACCACATATGTAAAGCTTTCTGGCTCTGCCGGAGGTACTAGGCTGGAAGCGTATTGTTCTTCAGATTAAGGGTGCCTGCGATTCGTGTGAAACGGTAGCTTTGTGTGAAACGTTGGAAGTATGATATGGTCCGTAGCGATGCAAGAGTTGGCTCACAGCCCGCCACGTCGGCCTGCCGGATGGCTGCTTCTTGCCATGGCGCTCGCACTTGTACTGCAGCCAATCTGCTTCAGCCACGTGGCCGAGGCTCAACCGCTTGCTCCGCCTCCCGCGTCTCCGCCGTCCTCACCACCGCGAGCAGGAAAAGGGTCATCGAATGCCACTTGCCTTCCGAATGATGCTTGGACAGGATCCTGCAAGCAGTGGGGAATCGAATGTGAGCCATCTTTCTTTATTTCTCAAAATCTTGAAACCACTACCCTATATCTGCTGAAATCTTTCCACCTGGTCCTTACCCGTTCCCGCTTCACTCCACAATCTTTTCTGCTCCCCTCCGCTTTTTGCTCTCCTCCTTCCGCCCTACTCTTCTCCCTGCGTCACCTTCCAGGCAATACAATTAGCAACCTCTACTCGCTGTGGTTCCCAAACGATCGAGTATTGGAGAGACCGTGCACATTGGTGTGCAACAGCACCACCAACGTGGTCTCCTGCGACCCCCCTCCTCCATCCGACGCCCCGTGTGCCTGTGCGCTCAACAGCCCCACCAATTACACCGGCCTGTGAGTCACTGTCAGTCTGTCCCCGTACCAATCGCATCAATCACCAATTGCACGGACTCAATGCCTCAATTAGTCTGACCCCGCTGTGCCATGCCATGTCGTTGTCATTGGTCCACAGATTGCCTGGAGTAGTCTCAGAGACGCCGCTGCAGCGCTGCTGCTGCTGTTGCTGACAGAGTTTCTTCTGTTGTTGCTGCGTGCGTTTCTTCTGCTGCCGGTGCAGGTCCGTGGCTCTGAAAGGACTCTCGGGTACCATCCCACCATCCATTGGTGGCCTCCTCCATCTCACCTACCTGTCAGTCGCCACGCCATGCCATTTTTCTTCCTTCTCCCCTCACCCACGCCATCCCATGCCACTGCTGGCAGCGTTGGCCGCAGGTTGCGACCCTCCCTGTGTCCCTCGTCCTGCCTGCTTTTTTTCGAGTGCCACAGGAACCTTCAAGGAAACAACTTCAGTGGCCCCATCCCCACTACGTTCTGCCAGCTCACCGCTCTGCAGTACATGTGAGAGGCATGGCGCCCTGCAGTGTATGTGAGAGAGCTAGGCATGCACCCCATTCTTGCCATGTTGCTGTTGCATGTGTCACAGCGCAGGTAGCGTTTCAAGATCCCTCACACCTTTTCCGGAATGTGCCTGATTGCTGTCCGCACGCTGCAGGGATCTGAGCAACAACAGCCTAGACGGCACCATCCCCACCTGCTTCTCTGCCCTCACCAACCTCCTAGTGCTGTGCGCACCCGCCCTGCCATCACACTCCACCAATCTTCCTCCCTCACTTAATCTACCGTTCGGCAGCTCACCTGTCACCCTGTCGCTCTTCTTTCCGCTCCACTCCAGATTACCCAAGTTTGTCGCTCTAGTCTGAATTTCATTGAATAATTCCAACGCGGGCAGGCCTTTTCCCTTCTCTGTGCCTTGGCCTGGCCTGTGCATCCCACCATCCTGCCTTACCTCACCATTCAGTGCGCCTGCATTGCATAAGTGTCCTCGTTGACTTCCTCCCAGTGCTTCCAGGCCCCAGCCAGCCACATTAGGCCTTCCCCATGACGCGTTGTTGTGATGCGCCTTCCCCGTGACGCCCGATTGCGATATTCCTTCCCCATAGCGCCTTACGGTTGATGTGTCTGCCTTCCCTGTGACACCTTATTGTGATTCGCATTCCCTATGATGCCTTATCGTGATATGCCTGCCAACTGTACCCGCGCAGGGACCTGCACCACAACCAGCTGTCAGGACCCATTCCAACAGAGCTCGGCAGCATGCTCTCTCTGCAGACACTGTACTGCGCCCTTGCTCGCTCCAACACCCATCTGGACTGCTTTCTCTGTCCTCTGTTTTCCGCTGTGCCATGTGCCATCATGCTTCCTGCGGACGTTTTAGTGCGCCCATGCTCGCTCTAACACTAACTTATGTTTTTTACTCTGGTTCCCTTCGGCCATGCGCTCTCTATCTGTGTCTCGCACTGCAGTCGCATACCATGTCTTGCCTTTCAGTCCATTGCCCTCCCACGGGCTCATGCTCTCATGCAGTCACTCTCCCTTGCGCTCATGCTTTCATGCGCACGTGCTGTCTCAATTCCATTCTCTCACACTCCCATGCTCTCACGCTCCCATGCTCACATGCTCCCAATCGCCTCACAGGTTCCTCAGGCGCAACAGACTCACAGGTGCCATTCCCTCCAACATTTCTCTCGCCCAAAACCTCACCAACCTGTACGTCATTCATTCAGAGTCACATCTAGAGGGACCAGCTCGGCTCCCCCATCTGGCCTTGCAGCATCTTCCTTTCCACCTCGCGCAGCCTCCTCCCCTCCACCTCCCCCTTCCCCTCCCCCACATCTCTCCCCTTCTCCCCCCAGTTCGTCTTTCTCACCCTCTCTGCCATCTTTCTATGCCTCTCTCACTTGCACTTACTTCCACTTCTGTACACTTGCTCTTCCCAGCCACGCATGATTTTGCCCTTACCTCACACTCGTTTCTGCTCGCCCATACACCTCAACTCCTCGCTCCCCTCTGCATGGCAGCTGGGTGGACAACAACACCCTCAACGGCCACCTTCCTGGCCCTCTAAGAGACTTTTATGAGTCGACTCAAAAGCCCTAGTCCGGTCTCTCACTCCCCTCCCCACCCCGACCTTTCACTCCCCTCTGCATGGCAGCTGGGTGGACAACAACACCCTCAACGGCCACCTTCCTGGCCCCCTGGGGAACCTCGTGAATCTTGTCTCGC